AACCGGAATAAGACGGCCAGAAGCGCCTCGCAGCAAAATATTTGAATTACTCTTTACTTCCTTTTTATTCACTAATTCTGCAGAGACAATACTAAGCTGCGCTCCTGTGTCCGTCAGCGCGTGAACTGTTGCGCCATTAATATTTACAGGAATTTTTAAAACATGTGGATTAGCAGAATTGTCGCAAATTGTGACTGAATTGATTCCTACACTATTTCCGCTCGATTGAAAATTATTCTCATTGCAAGTGCGAACTGATTCAAAATTTACAGAGAGGGAGCCCCCAAAATGGGTTTTAGGGAGGGGTCGGGCCCCAATTTCTAAGCCCTCCCGTCTTGGTTTTCCTTGGCCGACGGGTAATGCACATGAACGGCATACGGCGCCGCCGCCTGCGGTGCCCCTGGGCCCGCCAGTGGCGGTGCTGGAAGAGCCGGAAAGGAAGGAAATGGCGGCAACGCGTTTTGTGGGCTGGCCGGTGGATAATATTGTGCCCCGTATGTCGGCTGGGGGTTCGCGACAGCCCCCGGGAGTCCAAAGTGGCCTCCTAAATTCCTCAAATCAAATTCGCGTTTGTAGCACGTGCTCTCCAAATGGCCCGTGCGCCGACAATAATTGCAAAGCATCGTGTTGCCCGAATTATAATACATACGGCCACCGCCCCGGCCGCCTCGACCCCGGCGGCCTCCACGGCCACTCCAGCCGCCACGGCCACGAGAAAAACCACCGCGGTCGTAATTAGCATAAGGCTGATCAGGGAAGTGGTTGGGTGTCGTGTACTGCGCCACAGCCTGCACAGGTGCCGCTTGTGGGGCTGCCTGCGAGGGCACCATGGCTGCGGGAATGTGAGAAGGTCCAGAAGAGAGTTGAATGGCTGCGATGAGCTTTTCAACTTTCTTCATCAATTTTTCCCCAATTTTGCGTTCAACTTTCTTACTATTTTTGGGGAGTTTTTTATTTTTCCTTTCAACCACGGCCGCGTGAGTTGAGGAAGAAGAGGAAGAATAAGAAGAAGTCGGATATGAAGAAGACTCACTGCCGCTATCGGACGCGTTAGTTGATTCGCTGTCCGAGACGGAAACCGACTTTTTCTTTTTACTCTTTTTCTTTGATTTACTTGATTTTTTGGTTTTTCCCTTTTTCCGCCTAGAGCGGCTGGACTCCGCGTCAAAGTCACTAGGAGGGCAAACTTTCCTCCGGTGTTCCAAAATGAGTTGATTTAGCGCCTGATCCTCTGCCCGCGCAATAAGTTCACCAATTGTAGTGGGAGAACCGATTCTATCCAAAATTGAGGGATGCAAATTATTGCAAATTAGGCGAATCCGCCTTGACTCTAGCATATGGGGGTCAACTCTATTGATCAAAGACAACATTTCCCCTACAAATTTGCGTGAATTTTCACCTCGTTTTTGGAACCTGGAGTAAAGTTCTCGCTCCGCCACATGTGCATCAGACTGCACATGTTGTGAATTTTTTAAGTCTGTCAAAAATTGAGCGAGCGTCACATTCGCGTTCGCCGGGTCTTCCTCATAGCCTTGTAGCCACTCCGATGCATAGCCCGTCAATTTGCACTTTAAAATATTAAGTGCTTCAGAGTCAGACCATTGATTGGCCGCTCTGACCCTATTGAAATGTGTCAAATATTCTCCGATACTTTGTTTGCCTTTGAAGAAGGCGAGGTCAATCGGCCGCGCACGGCTCGTAGGCTGATTTGCCATTTTATTTCCCGATTGAGAATTTTCGTCTCTATTGGTACTCGTGTCACGAGATTTGATTACTAACGGTTCAAGGTTAGGGACCGCAGGAGTTGAGCTACGAGGAATTTGCTGCTCAACAAGTTCCTCAGAAGGTGGCTCGTCCTGCACATCAATCAAACCGAACTGATTTGTAATCACCTCGATTTCGTCCTCTGATTGAGTGCCAATTATCTTACGCAGGGCATCAAGAGTGCCAACAGAAGTGTTTTCCACTTGTGCAAGATAATCAGACGGGGTAATATAAGGGGATAGGGAAGGGGTTGCAGCTTGTGTGAACGGCTGAAATTCGAGACTTTGAAGCTCTAAATAATCAGCTCGAGAGGAGGGTCCTGGCTGGTTTATGTCATAAGTTTGGTAGGCCAGGGTTGGGCCGATTTGTTCATAATCGCCCCCAGGAGGTGGAGAGTTTAAATTTCCCCTGGAGGGAAATAATAAACTACGGGAGGGATCGTCTCCGGAGGAACTTGACTCATCTAGATTTAAATCTTCCTCCGCCTTTGATTTACGGGAAAAAAGTTTTTTGGTTTTCTGAAGAACAGAAAGAGAGATATCCAAAAATCCTCCCTTGCTCCTGGTTGATAGAGCGGGTGAGTCGGGAATGTGAGGAACCGATTTGCCCCTTTTTGGTGGCATGGGGAAAATCAGTTTTCCCAAGGGAAAAGCACCTATGCCGGAAAATCGACATTTAGGAGGCAGAAAAAATGGAACGGGGAATTTTATTAATGTCCCATTTTTTTATCTCTAGTCCCTTATTTTAAATAAGTGGAAAAGAGACATCTCGCCGGTGCCTCCAGATGTCAGAGTTACGCCCTGACGGTGCTAGATCCTATGGGAATAGTCAATTAAACAAATGTGATACCCAGGGAAGACATTGTTATTATTAAATATCCAAAGACAGTTATTACATAAATACCTTTAACGGAGGTGATACTTGAGAACGTCCGCGTGGGTTCGTCCCGTGGTGATGAGTGACGCCGCCGTCACTCATCACATACTAGGTGCTCATTTTTGCTTATTGTGCGCTCCCGGTGAGTGGGAGTAATTTATCACTAATTTACTGGGGAGCGCACTAATTCAAATCCTGACACATTTATATATTACTTTTTTCTCTCTCTCTCTCTCAGTCGGTAACGTTTGCCACAGGCGGAAATTCTCATAACGTCATATAAGGAGTTGCGTGCTGAAATATGGAAGAGAGATGAAAGTCACCTTAAAAAGCATCCTAAATTGAGTGTAATATATGGCGTTGGAAATTATTAGCCGTGACAAATTCCACCGCTCAACAGAGACTAATGAAAATTGTCAAATTTCTAAATACAAACAGCGTTTCAACACCATTAAGTATAATACGCGCCTCAGGCCAAAGATATTAAAAAACGCGCCTCTTTTTCATAAAAACATATTTACAAAAAGTGCTGTGAAGGAAATTTTGTGCGTCCCTCTCGAGAGAGAGAGAAAAGACGCGCCGCGTGAAGAGGGCCCTGCATTATAAAAAGTTGTCAAAAATCCACTAATTTATACCTCGTTTAACCAGTTGGAGAGCTCAAGCTGTGACCGAGGTGTTAGCTTCGAATTCCAAACAAATTTTTACTCATCCCTAATTCATTCATTCCTTTCGGTGGCCAGCAGGAAAAATATATTTCGGAGGTCCATTAAAATCGTCTCGCGTTCCGAACTGCAAATAAAATTATATTATTTGAGAAACATTCGCGCATATTTTCTTGAACGCATGAACTCTGAAAATTTTGATCTCCTCTGGCCGAACATAAATAAATTTGACATGATCGCGAGAAGAGGAGTTTACGGCTGGCACATTTTGCTGGCATAAATAAAATTTAGTTTCGTATCTATTTCAGTATATTTGGCTCTAAATTTGAGTGTGCGTTAAATATTTTATCCGCTCTTGTATGCATAATGTACACCTGCGCGCGTTTAAATATAAAATTGCTCGCAGCATATGCAGGCGGCGCATTTCAATACATTCCAATGATAAGACAAAATACACAGATTATATATGGAAATTAAAAATTATATATTCTCACATATGACCTACACTTCAGAAGACGTTGGTCGAGTCATAATTGCTATACTTCAATTTTAATTTCATACAATTTTTGAATTTTTGTTGGATTTTTTATGTATAGACAAACTAAATTTTCCTCTTTATAAGGTTTGTTGAATTTTATATTAACAGAATAAAACCATATCTCGTTATTACGGCAATTAAGTGAATTGACCGTGAGAAATAAGAACGGAATTAATGATAATCCCCAACAAAATAAAATGTAAAAGGAATTCGCAAATTCAATTCTCAAGCTGTGCGTCCATCCAGCCAAATTACGCGAATTGATTGGCCCATTGTGGCTGTAACAGTTTGCGTGTGGCCGCGCGAATCGTCGATTGCTTTATTGTTCGTTCTCGATAGAGACATACACACGTTCACCAGAAATTAATAGTCTCGCGCGCAGTCGGACGCGTCAATAAGACTTATTGGGTCCGCGTTCAATACATTAACATTACATTACGTTGGAATTTTACAAGAAGAGGATGCACAACTTGAATGAGAAAGAGAGATAATGGTCGTGGGGAAGTTATTGCCTTCGAGGTGGTCTCTCTCTATAGCATTGTATTTGGCACCACCTGCATTATTCACACGAAACTGATACAAACACAGCACTATGGAGAGGAATTGTGGAGGTTGCTTGGTGCGGTGGTTGCGCGCTGGTGGATGAATATAACGAGACACGAAATTTATGACCTGCTGAGGACTCGCATTTATAACACCTCAAGCCTCAGGAATGAAAGATTTCTTATTTATCCTGGCTACGTGGCGAGCTATTCAATGTGTGGGTTTTGATATTTCTTGCATTTTTCTTTTGGGAAAAGAGAAAATAAATTATTTCCGACTAAAATTTGAAATGGATTAATCGGTTTTTATATGAAACAATTGAAATAATTTTTTTTTTCAATTTTCCAAAGAAAAGGTATAATCTAATAATATTAAACCAGTCAAAAAAAAAGACAAATTAATTTTTTGACACTGTCTTGAGACCACCAAAGTAAGACAAAACTATTAAATTTAATTAATAAGGAAATTAAAATTCAAAACAAATATATTTTTAATTTAAAATCAAAGTATATGTAAATTGATTATAATTAACTTATTATTGTAATGAATATATTTATTATTATTTTAAAATTTTAAAAAGTTCATTATGTGTGCAGTTTTTATTTTAAAAATCTTTATGTTATTGTAAAATTTAAAAGTAAGATTTTAAAAAATTTTAAAATCAGAAATTCGTTATTCACTTTGAAAAGAAGTACAAAAAAAATGATTGTAAGGTGATTAGCTGTTAATACCTATGACAAGGAGCTCCAATAAACCGATAACCATGAGAAGAAAAAAGTTGATTCATTGTGGGATCGGCAGGGTGAATGGTTTGGTCCATTGATGATGCATCCGCGCGCGGCGCAGCAGGTGCATAATAAAAATTCCTTGGATTTTTTAGCCGGGCGAGCAGGAAGGAGTCATCAGGTCTGGCAGGACCTTTATCTTAAGCTGCTCATCTCGGCCACTCACTCAGCATCTCTCGATCCCCAGCTCTCTTTCTCATTTATTTTAATTTTTACGGCGCGCACCACTCAATCTTTCACTCGCTCCGCCTAATCTGATTTGAGAACCAGGTGCCTTTGTTGAGCTGCTGCTGATGAATGACCCGCTGCATCAGTTCGCTCCAGGTGGATTTTGGCTCAAGGAAAAATACGCACCCTCATCAACCCGTGTGTGTGTCTCTTTTTCTCGTATTTATTCGAACGCGCCTCCACGGACACCCCGTCAAACAGCAGGGGCGGCAGATAAATTTTCCCTCTCGGCCCATCATACTTTTTTTTATCACCAATCATTTACTGCTGCTTTTTGTTTGCTTTTAAAAATCGCTTTTTCGGAATTTGTTGCATGAATGGAAAACACCCACGCTTTGTCTTCGAAATTCCTGGCAGCTCGTTTCTCTTCGTTAAGAGCCTCAGCATTAAATTCCAGTTGAAGGTTTTCTTTCGCAAGTTTCAAAAATTTCCATGAAATGCAAAACGCACGCTTTTGTTATATGTGATATACTTTCCATATCCGATGGCAAACGTAACTGTGTCCCACATCCGTAACGGGGAAGAGCTGAAATGAAAATTGCGTCAGATTATGTGCAAACGTGCATAGAGTGAGCGTGTCCTGTCCACCTCTCCTGTTGCGAATTCAAGCATATTGAAAATTCGCAACAGAAAGTATTAAATGATGAGAAGTGGTTTGATTTTTATCACAACCGTTTTAATAATATGGTCCATTTCAAGTGAGGTATGCATACACCTTATTTCATAATTTGCTCTGCTATTTTAAAATCAATTCTGCTTCGAAATATTTTGTTCTGTCAGTGTTTTGAAATTCACGGGAAAGAGACTCCGGTGCAAACAAAAAATTTAATCAACAAGGTATGTGATACAGAATTCTTATTTAATAGGATTAAATTAAAAATTTTGTTTACTCCTAATTTGAAAACCAAGTATAAATGAATTCGTAAAGGAATTATTGCAATTCATATATTAATTAAAATATATTATAAAAAAAAAATTACAAGTTTATTGAATAACAATATCATCTCGAAATTTTTAAAATATTATCATAATTTCCACAGACAAAATTCATTGCACCAGAAAAGGGAATTATGCGAAAATCCGGCAGAAATGTGAAATGTACCGATTAAATAAAAAAATTCTGAAGTTATTTATTGCTTGTTTTCAGCTTCATCTCAGAAATCAAAAAAGAATAAAAGGCAGCTTGTAATAAAATGCTGCGGGGGGAAATCATGCACGGTGTTTTCATCACAAAAGCAAAACCAGACAATGAAGACTGAAAGCAGAAATACTCGACAGCAAAGTACGGCTAAAGTTTTTGTCAAGCAGGAATCAACGACAATTGAGTCGCAAAGTCCGAAGACTGAAATTAACTCGCAGACAGAACAGGTAACTGAAGGGACACAACCACAAGAAATCGTCGAAACCACCTCAGAAACTTTTGGTTTGACTTCATACTTTTTTTAATATTATTTAGGGAAAATTTTATTTTTGTAATAAGAACAAACTACCGAAGAGGGACAAACTTTTACCGCATCAGCTATTAACACTGATTTGCCAAGTGTGATATTGACTCAAGACATACCCAGTATCACAACCACATTAAGTTTAATTAGTGAAGTTGTTTCAACTACAACCACCACCATTCCAACCACCGCAACCTCCACAGTTCCAATCACAACCCAAGTATTTAATTAAAAATTATAAATTCTATGCCAGAACCATATTTTGACTTTTCAAATTTAAAGCCACCTTGTTCCTGTCCAAAGAACTGCGATCCACAAGTATTTGTTTATTTTTTATTCCACCTTCAATAAAAGTAAGTTGGAATCTTTCAGAAAAATTTGACAGACGCAGATAACCAGATCATAGGTTTTTATTTAAAATATAAATATGAGATTTTAAATTATTTTATTTGAAGATCCGGAAGTTTATGGAGCATGGGAAAATGTTGGAAATACAACATTTATTTTTGGAGGCGAGCCTGTAATTTGAATTTCGTTAATACACAAAACAGGGCTGTTATAAAAATCGCGTAATTAATATTTCAGATGGTGTGGTTGAGTGCGTGGCAAAAATGCTGCAGCCTTGGAATGAAGCCTATCAGCTTTGAATCAATTCAAAAACTTGGTTCTGTAGGCGAGAAATTCAAAAGTATAATTTTTACTAAAATTTAAAAGATGGAAAATGTAATTTATTTCCAATTCATTAATTTAGATTGGCCGCATAATTCAAGGTTCTGGACAAGTGGCACATCAATGGGGTGCACCAATGGCACCTTTGTGTGGTGCGCAAATGACAACCGAAATTTTGAAAATGGAATGTGGCATTCTAAGAAGCAACCGGCCGAACAGCAAGTTTCGGGGGACGTTTGCGTCAGCGCTTCATTTGAAAATGGTGCGTTTCTTTTGAGGGACCAATTGTGCTCCAAACGATTTGCTTTTGCATGCGAGGTAAATATATAAAAATATAAAAAAATTCAATTTTCGTGACACGTACGGAATGGCAAATGCGCAGAGCTTGATGCAAAATCCTGGTGAGTTTCTGCAAAACGGATGTCCTGCCTCGGGGCTTTGCAATTCACAGGACGTAATATTCGATTTTTATTTTAAATTTTCCTCTGGCATCAAAATTGATCAAAATCATGATAAATGCGAAATTTTTTTCCAGGTTAAAATACTTACCAGCAATGGACTCACTCAAGGTAGTGACATTAGATTTTTTTCTTTTTTTCAATACTCTTATGTTTTTACATATAAACCACTGTTCTTTGAGATATTAGATAAGCGTTTTTGAAGTGTTGCCATTTTTATAGAGACAGGGCCAATGAAAGGAACGTTTCAAGCACGATGCGGGAAATTTTACTATTTCTCAAGAGTGAAAGTATCTTTCAATATCCGTTTTTAATTTTTTCATTTATTATATCTTTTAAAAAGAAAACGTGGGAAAATGCAAGAAATTACTGCTGCAGCATGGGAATGGATTTGGAGAGCCTGTATTTATCTGAAAAGAGGGAATGCATAGCTCAAATCTTTAGAAGTTTGCAGTTTTTAAATTTATGCCTCTGAAGTTCTATCTAATTATGTCTTGAATTTTGAATTCAGAATTGCCAGCCAGATTGAATGATACAGATTCTTACTGGAGTTCTGGAAGATCAACAAAATACCCCGGAAAGCATTTCTGGTGCTCGGCAGACATGTATTTTTATCGGCAAGAGATACTTTGGGGCTACGGATTTCCGAAAAAAGAGCACGACTGCGTTTTCCTATCATTCAACAAAACTACAAATGTCACTGAACTTGGAACAGCACCTTGCGAGGAGGAAAAATTATTTCTTTGCTCGGTAATCTATTTTTTTTAAACTAAAATTATGATGCTGAATGAAAAGAAATTTTAATCAGGCAGGTTCAAACAATAACACTGAAGCAGTAAAGAAATGGTGGGAATGCAAGGAAACATACGGTCTATACCATGGTTAATATAAAAATCCACCAAAGAAATATTTTTATATTGAAGTCATCGTGGTTTTATGTTTTTGGTCACAGATGAAGAAGATATACTTTTAACCTTCACGCCAACAATGCCGGCGAATCATCTGCTTGTAATGTTTTATTAAATGCATATTTTTCAATTAAATAATTATGCTTAAATTTTTTTGAAGTGTTACGCGAGATGTATTGGCCAAAATTACAAAAAAGTTAATATCAAGATTGTTTTCTTGCATAAATTTACATATTTTTATTATTCAGTTTCTGGACAAGAAGCCAAATGGACAAAACATTTTGAGACTTTTTGAAGATGCATTGAAAAATGAAACTGAATTGCAATCGGCCTATGCAGCCTACGAAAAGTGCACTAGCATAAGTAATTTGCTTATTTTCCTTTAAAGATTGATTTTTAATTGTTATACCATTAATTGAAAGCAAGCAACAACCGCTGCGATTCTGCCTACCTTATTTTAAGGTGCGTTTTAATGACGCAATATCAGATGGTCCAGTATTTGATGGCGTACACTATAAAAACGGCCACCAACAATTACGTAGGAATACCTTTAAAAAAAAATTAACTAATTTCAAAAACTCATTTTCAAACCGACAATAATAAAAAAAAAAAAAAAAAAATTAATATTTTCATCATTAACTAAAAAATTTATTCTTACTTAGTTTCCATCTACGTTGATGTGCGAGCCAAATTATCAGTACTGCGACGTTAATTATTTCTGCGCCAAAAATGTAAATAAATCATATATTTTTAATATTTTAAAGCATTATTTTATTATATGCACAAATTTTATATGCAGAGCACTCTAGTAGATCAGCTGAAATCAGCAGGGAAAAGTCAGATTTAAAATTAAATTATTATTTTATATCACCTGATTTAACTTAAAAATTTTGCTTCATAGATGAAATTGGAAAATTAGTTACTGTGTCCAACGGTGCAAAATATTTTGTTGGGAGGAACAATTCCGGCTTTCCAAAATTGGTATGTTATAATAGAGAATTGTTTTAATGATCATTATTCAATTTCTTTACAGTCGTACGAGGTTACTTATTCGTACTGCTGTTCTATCGGAATGAAGCTTTTAGAAGTTGAAAATGTTACTGAACTTGAAGCTTTATTGCTGCTTGATCCAACTTGTAATCGCATTAATTCTAATCTTGTAAAAATTAACTTAAAAAAAATTAAATTAGTACGGCCTGATATTTGGACTACGGTTGGTCCAATCAAGGAGAATGAAAACGGAGATTTGTCCTTCTGGTGTTCCTCGGGTGCGAAAATACCGGAGACACTTTTTCCAATGAAGAAAACGCCGACAGATCCGTGCTACAAATCAAGCAAATGTTTATTTCTACGAATGATGTCTGAAAATATGGCTCCGGAAAATTCACTGCATTATAGTGATTGCGAATCAACTGCAGTTCAATTCTTCTTGTGCAAATAATTTTTATCGTTGAAATTATTGGCTTGAAATAAAATAGTCAGCAAAAATCATGTTCACGGATAATATAAAATTTCAAATTTGATCTTATATTGTCAGAGGAATTATACCGATGATAAAACCAACTATGAGATTATAGAAAATTTTCGTTTTGTCGACACTGATTTAAATTTTAGTTTGGATTTTATGGTAAAATATTATGTAAGATTTATTTTTTATTAATGTGGAAACTGGCTGGGGAAAAATTTGTTTTGAAAGCTTTTGTTTGTGACACAATCTTTATCAATAAACACAATTTATTGTCAAAATCTTGTAATTTTATCTATCACAAGTATTAAGATTTGAGAACAAAACTGCCAATTTTTTTTATAGAAATCATATTAAGTTTAAAACTTTCACGACGAAAACAGACTATTAGTCATAAACGATCGAGGAAATTTTGGAGGAAAACCTCAAAATGCTCGCGCGGCAACCATTCAAATTAGCCACGGATCATTATCAGCTGAGGCCGAGCGCGATTAAATTCAAATTAAAAGAGCTGTGAAATAGGCGTGCAAAGCATTAAATCTCCTTGTGGTGCTCAAAAGCGGTTCTTTCTCAAAGGCGAGAGAAGAGATGATGCTTGTGTGGCCAATCGCTAATAAGGCCGGTCTGCTACGTGCATATATGGATTTTATAAAGTGTTGTACATACCACACGTAAAAGCCAACGAAAGGGTTAAGTGGCTGTTAATCACAATCAAAAGGTAAACTTTTGCATTTGTTTTAATTCAAAATTTTGATACAGTCATGTGATGAGATGGCAAAAAGATATTTTTATTTTTTCAGTCTCTTATTTGATTATAGTGAAATTATATAGAAGGTATTTTTTTAAGACGTGTATATAAAAATTCAATACAGGAGTTTCTGTATTAACTTTAATGGCAATTAATTATGAATTGTAATATTTTTCTATTTATTCTTTGCAATATTTCATCTATTTGAAAAGAAGCAAATTGAAAGGAAATCAAAATTGATAATAAAAATAAATAAGTTGATATTGATAAATTGATATTAATATTAAAATTTTATTAAACGTATGCAAGTCTGATCATGGGGCTCGTAGTCTCTACTAAATTTCATCCCCCATAAAATAATATTGGATGTAATCCCATAAAAAATAGGAAAATTCTCAAAGTTGAAGCTATTGATTTAAAATTTAATTTAAAAAATTCAAAAAAATTAATGGCGTTTGTAGACTTTACCTTTGCAAAGGTGCAGTTAAGGCAGTTATTGCGTGCCCCCTGCGGGGTTGTGTTTTCCTCTGGTGATCGTGGGTGGGCGAAAAGGCAAAAGTTTATATGCGCGAGCATAGTGTCATGATATTCATTCTTTTCACAGGCGCGACCAGCACGCACAGCTCAAACTCGTAAAGAATATAAGAGCAGAGTGAATGAGACACATTTCCAGTGTATAACACACGCGAACTTCGGAGCATCTTTCTACTTTTTGTGTCTCATCCTCTGCCATTCACGCGACAGAGGGCAACAAAAAGATCAAGAGAGGCTGGCGCGGTATTTCGCCGAGTCATTCACGCTGGAGCATCTCTCTGTGCTGCTCATATATAGAGGCGCGTTCGTTTTTTTCCACTTCAATACCTTGGCTATTAGCAAGTGATTTATCACCTCGGGCACAATAATAGCCGGGTAATTGTGAGCTGTTTTGACACCTTTTGAGCGGCGCACAAAAATATTTTCACCTTTTACTTTTGTGGACATTTATACCAGAAAAGTTATATTTATAGACGAATGATGATTCTGTGCGTTTATTGTATGTACGAGACTTCTTTTGCTGCTGCTGCGGCGGCGAAATTAACCTAATGAATGTCACACCGAGGGTTATTATTATCCACGTGTTTGTGCCGCGTTTGAGCACCTGGAATTATTGGAGCAGATGTTTTCCAAGAACGCTCTATTGTGAGAGCGAGCAGCGCGCCGTGCATATCATTAGTAAAGTAGGAACAGCCGATTTCGTGTTGCGGCAGCGTCAAAAAGCGCCGACTTCTTGTAAAACACTCAAATTAGCAGCGGATTTTCGCACGATTTTAACAGCAGTTGGCTTTTGCTAAATGAAATGTAATGTCAAAGGAAAAAATAATATTTATGTACAAACGACAACTCCTTAAATTCTGAATTATTCTCATGTTTACCTGAATTTGAATAATATATTTCCTACGAATTTCATACACACGTTTAATTTATTGAGCTTTAATGAATTTACCATCATTAATTTTAACTAGTACTTTAATCATCAAACATCAGTTTCAACTAACATATTTCATTATTTATAATATTTGGATACTAAATATATGAACTGCAGCTTTATTAATAAGTTTGCATGAAGATTAATTTAAAGACTAGTCTAATTAGCAATGATGTGAGACGTAAAAATCAATAAATTAGATTATGCTAATAATGGAAAAAATTATATAATAAGTATTAAAAAAAACTATTTATTCTATTAATGGAACTAATACAGAAATTTATCAGCTTTAAATTATTACAAATAATATCTTTATCAAATTCTAAATAAAAATGTAATTAAAAAAATACAACTTACATGAATTTAACTTTATATATTCAAATAATCAATTATCCCATTAAAAAAAAAATAAATTTTTAAACAAATGAACAACAATGTTCTTTTTTGACCGTGAAATGAAAGGATTTTTTATTTCTGGTGCTCGATGTGGCCCTTTAAACTGATGCGTCCCTCGTACGTTTCTGCACATCACACGAGGCAAAGGGCATGGACATGGTGGAATGGAACAGATTTCCGCTTCAGCAGCGTTTCGGGGGAGCACTCGTCGGGGAGTTGCGAATAAATTTACCCCGGCGCAGAGAGGATCACGCGCTGTGCTGGGCTTTCACTGCAATTATGGAGAACAGCGATGAAACTGAAAATTTAGATAAAGCTGCTTTGCACAGCAATATTGCGCCGCTGTGCCGGCTTTAAACACACATTTATACCACTTTATCCACGTGCCACGGGGAATAAACGTGTTAGATAAAATGTATAAAATATATACCCTGCGAAATTCAGTGGGCGGCCCTCGCTGCTCGCAAAGTACATTATGTGCAGCGCGTTCACTCGGCCCGCTGGCTCGGCACATAAAGAGTATTATGGTGGCGCTTCGCAGGGTTGTTTTAGGGTCGGCGAGCAAAAACGCTCGGGGCTGTCATTCCCCATTTCGGTGGCAAGAGCGCTATCGCCCCTGATGAGCGGTGACACCAGCCACAGGCCAATTTTGATATCGCCCGAGCTGCCGCCGCTTCCATTAACAAAATTCGTTCAGCGCCCGCCTTACTTTTCTCAATTGTGCATATTTATTTTTCTAATCCTACCAACAATAATGAAAGACAGAATTTAGCTGCACATCATAATTTGTACCATTTGTACTTTACTCTAAAGGTAAAGGATCCGTCAGTTCATTTTTGAATAATTTGATGAATGGCCAAATATATCGCATTTTGCTATTCTTCTGTTACAAATAATTTTGAATAAAGCAACAAAACAGAATATAATTTTCATTAATTTTAGTACCATTTTGATGTCACATGACATAACTTATTTGCTTTTTTTTTAAATTTACTGTATACAATTGAGTACATGGATAACATGAATCAGAAAATTAATGATCTTTAGAAACGTGTATAAAAAAATTTAAAATTTATATTCCATTAAAAAGATTTATAAAATTATTTAGTTTTAAATAAAAAGACTATTTAAAAAAAAAAAATATTTTCTATATTTGCAAAAAAAACTTCTTTCCCTTTTATCTAATTGCTTGGAAATCTATAATTTTCTACTTCAAATATCCCTGACAAAAACTACGCTAAAGGTTTTGCTCGAAATAATTAATGAAATTATTATTGTAATATGAAAGTTATTGAAATTTATTAAATTTTTTAATAGTATTTGTAGTCTCCTAATTTCAGGACCACTGCGCCATCATCAGGGCTGCTGACTTTTATCATTTGCACTTCCGTTGCTTTTCCCTCTGCCGATGCGTGGACAAATCGATGGGGTTTACGCCTGTCATTCGGCGTGGCGGTGATAATTTTTCCCATCTCGTCGATTGCGCCATGAATTATTGATAACGTACACCGGTTTGATGGCGGCACATTAAAGTGCGGCCGTAACGAGGTGTGGGCAGCCCTCGCTCGATCCGAATTCGCACTCGCACACGTCCCATGCGAGCCAAGGTATTCAGCAGCAGCTTGGTTTGCACCATTGGGAGGCTCCCGGGTCAATTCTCGCGTCGCTGCCATCGGCCGGGCCTCAAAGGGGTGACCACGACCATGCACCCTGCGTGCTGCCGAATTCAATCTCGCGTCAACAGCACATACAATATATTGTGACCCCCTAAACGCACGCTCATGGTGAACTGTGAACTGACTTGAATCATAAATGAGCTTAACGCAGTTTAATTCTCCGAGCAGGATGTTCTTCTAATAACAGATTTTTAAAATGAAAATTGTACTAGAATCTATTAATTTTATTATCAAATAATAATTATTGAAAATTAATTATGTTAAGTAAAATATGTAAAGAAATAAAACAACGATTGCAGCATAAAATCATATTAAATTCACAAAAATGGTTTTTATAATTTTTGAATTTTTAAACAATTATAAAACTTAATTTTTTTTATTTTTAAATAATTTTTTGTTAAGAGATTTTTATTAAATTTCTTTATTATTACAAGACAAAAAACATTTAATCATTTAAATTAATATTATAGATATAATATTAAAAAATATATAAATAATGATATAACGACCATTGCTTTATATCATTGACATTATATGGTTATCATCATATGAGTTTAAGGCGCAATTTCTCTTTTACCTGGTGATGAAAAATTTCATATTATAATAATTGTATGCTAAATAATCACTGCCAATGAGAATAATAAATAGAATATTGACCATGCATCCAAAAATTTGATCAAAATACATTAATCTCTTCCTCATAATTATCATGATATATACATAAAAAAATATGTATAGATTATTTTTATATGAGTGTAATTTTTTGTTTATTGTTTTTTTTAATAACCAATACATATAAATAACTTATCACTGATTTATATTTTTATTTAAATTCTCCTTTTCATGATTTTGCAGATGTTGTAAATGACGACTGATCTATTTTCCTTCCATCTTTTTTAAAATTTATATTGAAGAATTCACAGAACACGTGTTAAAATATATGCATTTTTTTAAATGCAGAACTCAAGACATAGAACACGTTTTCAAATTGGTATAAATATTTCAGAGTGCTATCTTTCCTCTATTTTACACATCTCCGTGGCGCGATAAAATTCGAATAAGGCGTTCATCGCCCCCCTTGCGAAAAGCCATCACGCTCGAGAGGTGCGTAACTTTTAACTGCGACCATATATAATAAAATACCGCGCGTTTGCAGCGCGCGCGTGCAGGGAGCGAATTCGGAGCCGCTCTTATCGGCACGCTTACCTTTGCAGAGAGAGAGGCGGAGAGAGGCAATAAAAACTTTTTCTACATAGCACCTAGGAAGGAAGGCTCGGCAAAAGCAGCCCCCGCTAGGTGATAACACTGCGCAAGATCTGGCCTCTCATCGCCGGCGGCTGGAGCAGCTCAGAGGCTGCGCCGCAGCGCCAATGGGGAATTGCACGGTTTCGCGCGAGATGTGCACCCGGCCGATAATTAAATGCCCAGCGCAGGTGTTGCCGACTGGTGAGACAATCATTGCGAGAGAGTCCTAATTGCGCACTAGATTAAACTGCCTCCAACTTGCTGCCGCACGCAGAGTTTAATAATATTAATATCACTTCTCTCTCTTAGGGCTCTTTCGGTGCGTATGTTCTCTCCGCAGCAAATTATTGCGCTCCATCGTGCGATAATTATCTTCTTCTCTCTCTCTATATATATAATATCTACAGGCGGTTTTCTCAACCGACGCGCACTTCTTTCTCTCAATTTGCTCTGTAAGAGAGATTTTGCGGAGAGAGACGCGCGCGCCGGAGAGGAAATATTTCGCCGCTGGCAGTTTATTGCCACCCTCTCCGTGTGGACCGAGATGATGGGAAAATCGATAGCACTGCTGCTGAAGAAGAAGTAGCGACTGTTGAGAAGAAGTCGATTTTACCCTCATCTCAGCTTGATGAAAAACACAAAATGAGAAAAGCCCCTGGCGCTTTCAAGATTTCTATTTTTTATTGTAAATATTCTTTTGTAATAATGAAATTTAATGAATTTGATGAAAATGAATTTTTAAAGCAGCATTAAAATTTTAGTTTTCATGCCTACGAGAAGATTCCAATTTTAAAATCGTTTAATTGTGGTTGTGACAAAAAGAAAAAGTGAATTGAATTTTAACAAATGACTATAGAAGTATATATTTTTTCACGCAATATATTTATGATCTTCTGCCTTCAAAACACTTCCAATGAGGATAAATTTGATCCTGTCTAATATTTACGTAGTCCAGCAATATTTTCACAAAAATTTCTATAATTGTACAACGAGGGTTTTTTTTACCTTCAGTTTTTTTTTTATTAATTCTTTAACATTTGCAATAAATTAGTGGTATAGATGAAAATAAATTTTACAAACGCAATTTTTACATCCTGCTGCATTTGTTTAGATTTGATGAAACTTTAAATCAAAATTAACTTGATCTGGGATTGAAATTGGTCGATAAGAGGTAACAAGCCCTGGTGAATTTCCTGATTGAAGCCCCCCGTTTGCTCCCCTTCTCATCTCTCTGCTCCAGCAGCAGTTGTGTTTGCCCCTGCAAACATCCGAGAGCGCGCGGCGCGTCCGATGCCGGCCGCACACGGCGTTTAATCAATAACCGCAAGACTGCAGCACGAGAATTTCAATACAAAATCCATCGCGGCCGGAGCAGCAAACGGTCAGATTTACATACAAAACGTGCAAAGACGACAACAGCCGCGGGGACGATCTGCTGCAGCTGCACTCTGAGTAGCCCCTGCAATTTGTCAGAAGTATGCAATCTGCCGAACCAATCCATCACACACGTTGCATAGATTCGATTTCCCAATGCACATTTCCCGCACGTTGAACCGAAACAGTAAAATTGAATATAATTGTTTGTATGTTTATATGCGGAGGGAAGAAGAAGAAGAAGGGTTGAGCGTGGAATTGGAGAGAAGTAGGTGCTGCTAAAATGATAATGTGCGAGGCCATTATTACGGCCATAGGTGTGTGCGTCGGAATAAAGGGTTGAACAAGGTAAGGAAGGGGCAGCAGATCTGCTCTCACCACCGGTTTGTGCAGTGTCGAAGAAGAAATTCATTCATTTCGGCGTGCCAGCTGCAGTAATTTTTTTTTTTTGCCATACATCCATATGGACCGCACATCTTTGACCAATCGGCGGGCGTTCTCGCGGCGCCGAAACCCCTCCTTCATTACTCAGCTCTCGCCACGTGATTTGTCATCGGGGCGGAGGCTCCGCCCTCGCGGCCGGGTCGGCCCGACACATACTCTGGCGGTAGAGTGGCAAACGGTGCTCGGGTGGGAGGCTGTGGAAAGTGTGTGTGTGTGTGTGAGCCCGGGATAAAAAATTATACATAACTGGAAGGATATTTAGTGCTTCTTGGTCGTCGTCGTCGTCGGCGGTGGTGGTGGTGGTGGAAATGTTAATGCCCAAGTAGGTGGGGGGTTGTATGGAGAAGAGTTTTCAACACATTCAGTGTTGTGTGAACTACTGACTGCTCAACTCATACCTTCAGCTAATCGCATTTGACTGCAATTAGCGCGGCGCCGCGTGCTATGAGCAGATAGTGGTGCACCTCGCCAAACCAACCGACCGATCGAGACCGACCGACCTTCCGCGCCTGTAAATGATGTTGCTTGGATCGATGATGGAGTCGGCAAACATGGACACCACCGCCTCCGGGACACCCCTGATCGCCCTGCCCGGCGTCGCGGCCTCCAACGCGGCGGCCATCAAGGCGCCCAGGGCCACCGACTTCTCCATTGCGGCCATCATGGGCCGCAGCAGGGCCGCCGCCGCGGCAGCCAGGGGCGCGGCCCAGCACCACGCCAGGACCAGACCCACCGGTGAGTTATTCAAATTTATTTTATTTTGCAGTTCAAATATTAATTTCATAAATAAATAGGCGAGAATGTTCTCATTAATTCAGTTATTAATTAATTTGTTTAAATATGAAAATTATTAGGCTAGATTATTTTAATAGCACAATATTGCAAGATAAAATTTTTATCTTTTGTATTTTCCCGTATCATCCCTATAGCTCCTATGTTTTAACAGTTATTTTCTGCCTTCGCCTTTAATGGGACAAACGTCTTCCAATTTTAGATGTAGCAGCCAATTTTTTTATTAGTTTTGCTAAATAAAGTATTTAATAAATAAGTAATACTTTTAAGAGGCATTACACGTGACAGTTTGTAATGTAATTTTAGATTTTTTATTGTGTAATATTTTATTTAGTAAGATAAATATAGTTAATAAATTTATATTTTCATGTACAATCTTATATTTTTTTTATTTATATGATTTTAAATTTAAATATAATAAAATAATGTATTTTTATAAAACATTTATCTGAAACTAAAACGGATAATGGGAAAGCAATTTTATATAGCTTAAAAATTCTATTTAAAAATTGCACTGATTAAATTTGTTAATTTCAATCCTTGAAGATAATCGTCGGCATCATTTCTCTTCTGTATTAAAAATAGCTTATAATTCGTGATTACACTACTAAATAAACAAGCAACGGCTGAAATGATAAAAATAATTGTAAAAAACATGGTGATTTCAAGTTAAAATTCGGCTTTTCCCTTGATGGGTTTTTGTGAGATTTTATTGTTGAAGAAAAAACAATGTTCCGGCTCTACATGTTCCGGCTGCGGGCTGCAGCCATAATTCATTGAGATTTCTTGGCGGTGGTCGAGGAAAAGCCGAATTTTAAATTCAAATCACCATGAATCAACCCTCAATTGTGAACTTCTACTACAATTGTAAAACAGTTTATTTCCCACGTATAGATCGATTGCGTTTAACGTCCAATTTATTCCTTTTACTTATGTTGTGGAAAAATTCTAATGTTCTCTCAAATCAATATGAAGAAAGGGTTATGAAAGTAAATCTTTTAATATTATGGGAGAAAAATTAAATTAATAATATCAATAAAAAAATATCATCATCAATGCTTTCAGAAATTAAATAAGAAAAATAATTCTGTCGTTCCTATTATATAATTATTCAAGGTTCAGCACCTTAAATCTCATTAGACGTGAATACCCGTTTTTATTTTACTTCGTCTAATAACATTTTTCCACGCTCTGATGCGCCGGCCCATCACTGCTGTGTTCTTGGGAGAATACAAATGGGCCTCGGAAGTGATATTAAACAGCATCCCCCGGACTGCGTAATAAAAATGACATGATCATCTTCCCACCCCATCACTTAGGGAGGGTTAAAAGATTACACACACGGCCGGTCGGTCGACGGGCGGCATATCAGGGAATAATAATGCACTCTGCTGCACTCTCTCTCTCTCTCCTCTCTCAATTTCGTTGCAGATTGCGTCGTCTAAATCACTCGGATGCAATCAACTTCGCCCCCGCGTGCACTTGATTTTATTGCCTTGTAACATTAATGATGATCCGTGTTATTTTAACTGATACATTATTCCTTATATTCTGCGGCAGCTAATTTCGTTATCTCTTTAAAATTTATATATAAATTAATTTTATCTGGACTCGTTAAAAGATTTTTCAGCTTGTTTCGGATAAGTTTAATTGATTTCCTGCTTGTAAAAGTCTCTTTTATAACTCACTCAATTGTATAACGAGCTAATGGATTCCTTTATTCTTTATTGCTCAATAACTTAAGGAGACAATTTGCGACGTTTATTATAAGTTGCAAGGAGCACCTGTTCGCGAAAAGCTGGTGCACCTTGTGTAACAAGACGTGCCGTCGTCGCTGATAATTTAAAAGGCGAAGAGCCGGAAGAGCGGCGGCGAAACTTGAAAGGAGAGACGCACAAAAAACGCGCAAATTAGTGTACAACGCCAAATATTGCGTTTAAGACACATTTCCTTCGCTATACTGAACATCATGCCTAACACGCAATGACAATAAAAATGTGTTGCCAGCTAAAATTGAAACATATTCGCAAATATCATGACGGAAAGGAATTTTTAAGACTCTCGTGCTCAAATAAAATATAAAAAACCTCGCTAATGATGGCTTTAGGCAGAGCAATAGCAGAAATTTTATTGCTTAATTTGCTTCAAATTTATTATTTATCTTTATTAAAATCATCGATTTTATTTCTGCAGCGGGGCCCGGAAGCAGCGACGACGACGATGACGAGGAGGAAGTGGACGTGGAAGAGTGCTCGGACGGCGAAGGCGGCGGCCGCTTGATGAGCACCTCGTCCAGTCCGCCGCGGCCGCAGTCGAAACCGGCGTCCGTCGAGCCGGACAGCGGCAGCGAGGGTCCCGGTTCGCCCGCCTCGGCAGTCTCTCGCCGCCGAAAGAGTTCGTCCGGCTCTCCCGCGAGTACGCCCGTCATCCCGGCGCGATGCAACTGTCCAGAATTGCTCGGCGTCGACTGCAGACTGGAGACCAAAGATCTCTGGGACAAGTTCCACGACCTCGGCACCGAGATGATCATCACAAAGACTGGCCGGTGAGTACAACACGAAATTCCAATTTATAAATCATTTTAATTTCCTGGAATGAGCTAAATGCAGTGAAAGTTAATTAAAAGTGATTAAAAGCAATTTAAACGATTGAAAAGTAACATTTAAAAGAAAAAAAAAAAAAAATGCAAAATGCAATTTCATTCCGGCACATTAAATTTATAATTAAAGGTATATTTTACATAAATTACTGCTGAATCATAATTTTATTATATATATAATGCAAACTACTAAAATTTCTCAAGCTGGGAAGGAATTAAGAAAAACTTTAATTTAAGTAATTTCATATTGGTTCATTAAAGTTAGAAATTATTTTTATTAATGAGCTTTTTCTAAATATAATTTAATTTTTAATAATAAAATATTACATGTGTATAAAAATTATAAATCGATCTGAAATGACATTTCTTAATTTTTACTGTGCAATTTTTCTCTTATCGATCGCGAGGAGGTTTTTATATTATCCATGGCACGTGAACTTCCTTCAGCGTTTGATGAATGCTTGCTTCGTTTTCACACGCGCGCGGTTCTTATAATTTTGATATCGTAAAAACGCATTCAAAGCTCTCATGTACATATGAAAATGCCCATGCTCGACGAGGCCACGAACAAGCAGCTCACGATAAAAATTGTGTCGCTTGTAAATTTCGGTTGCACAGGCAGTCCCGCATGCATATTGCTCGTTTCACACAAAAACGCGCCGCGCAACTCTCTTCCCATCTTGATAGTCACGTAATTATAAAGCCATTAGACTAAGCTAATTAATTATTGCGGTGAATTAAGCTGGCGCGCAGGCCTGATGACACAAACCGACGCTCCAACCTGCGCTCATGAGCAGCTCGCTTTGTTTCTGCAGAATATAACGCACCGGTTCGGAAAAATAACAAAGCAGAGCGTGATGTGAAAAGTAGAATCAAAATTACAATTAATGCCACATGCGAGTTGTGAAACGGAAATTTCCGTTCTGTGGATAATAGGTTTAAAACCAGAAAAAGTATCTTATTATATTAAAATTTGTAAATGAATATCAAAAATGATTACAATTGGGAGTTGCTGAAAAATTTTAAAAATTGGTGTTCATGTCATTTCAATTTAGTATCGTTTGTTTTCTTTTCAATTGAAAATTATCTAAATAATTAGACAAAATTAATTATACGACAATGAGAACTGCATCGTGAATAACAACCTAAGTAGACCAAGCAGAAAATTAAAAGTAAAAACATAACATATAAAGTTTTTTAATTTATTTATTTGATAATATTTATAAGCATTTAACTTTTTTTATTATTATAATTTAAATTTGTTTAAATAAATGAAATTATTTATATTAATTTATTTTAAAATAATTATAAACAGTATTTTTAATTTATTGATGCTCAAATTGAATTTGGAATACTTACTAAATCATTGCAATTATTGATTTTTGCTACGTTTAAAAAAAATAATGTATATTTGTATCCCCTCAACGATTCATAATATTGGAAAGTGATGAACACTAATCCATTCTGGTAGATAGGGTTTCCTTAATTAGTGTCTGTTAATATTTTACGCGTATATATAAGCATTAAACAACATTGCAAATTGCGCCTTGTAATAATCATTGTCATCGCATAGAGAGCAATTATTTGTAATTGCAGAGTAATTTTTCGTCATATTCTCGCATCAAATTTATAACAAAATACCTTAATTTTTTTAAAAGACAGAATCACACAATTATTTCCTCGTCGTTTTTTCGTCGGTGCGAGAGCAGAAAGGGTAATTAGTCTTGCTGCTTTCTGGTGATGGATGTTTGGTGAAAAAATAATCTAAAACGACACGACGACGCCAGCAGTGCTGGGCGAAGAGAAGGAGGTTTTGTGTATAAATTCGTTTGTTATATTTATTTTTATATCGCGCGGTGGGTGCGCGGCGGACACGACTTGCAAGTTGTTGATGTCGATTTCGCGTGACTCGCCACCCGACACTTCCGCCAATATGGCGTCGGCGCCGAAGCCGTCAGCACCCGTGCACCCTCCCTCGCGGGGCCACTAATTCACACCGAGGTGTTTTATGCACTGAATTTTGTTATCGCAAACGTGCGTTTCTCTTGTTTGAAAAATAGGAGACCTTCAAGGCTGCTGCACTGGGCGCGCACACGCGGCATGATAAACGACAATTTATCATCGCGCTACTTGCGAGCTAAACAAATGAAGCAATTGAAATTACCCGGGGGCTCATTCATTTGCATCCAGTTGCATGGCGAAATCAATTTGTTCCAAGCTGCCCGCCTCTTTTATTATATTAAAATAAGAAGGGGATCAATAATTCTTTTTATATTTATAAAAAAGGCATTCATTTAATTGGTTATTTTAAATTTGAACGTCTCAATTAGTAACATAAAGATTTGTGCTGAGAATTTTTATATTTTTCTTTTGGAAAATCACAAGATTAATTTTACATTTTATTTAATGCTATTTTTTATATCATTCTCTTGATTCTTTTAATATTAAAGTTTTGAAACCGTAAAATTGGATTCTCCAAACTGAATTTAAATTGGGAATCGATCATCATCATATTTAGGTGGAAATCCCTGATCATTATCAACCCTTTGTTTCGCTCTTGAAATGAAACATTTTATACGTTTTCGTCTGCGAAACGAACAGGAAGTGCGTTGTTAATTAATCAATTTCTTGTCTTCTGGCTCACATACATGTCGGCGTGGAAGCCCTACACACAATTTTTATCTCGAAATGTGCCACAACCACGCCATGGGGCCTTTAAGAGGACGATTTTAATTTCTTATATCCCGCGGGCCTCGTTATACAAAACAACGGATTCGGCAAAAGGAAATGTAATGATTTAACTTTATACTATTTGGAAGAGAAAATGCAGAATTTTCTGATAGGTTTTTTGATTTGGCTGAAATTGTCAACAATTAATATAATAAATAAATTCTTCTTTAATTAGTGAGTAATGCTTTAGTATAAAATAAACATTAATTAAAGTAAATAATTTATATTTCTCCTTATTTTTAAATAAACGAAGGCGGCTTCAAAAATTGCTATACAATTTAATTTCTCGACATTATTTCATATTCTCTAGTAAAAAAAGGTGAAAATATTATCACATATTTTTTATTAATAAAAGCCGAACACACTCTAGTCTTATGTAGGCAGGTGTGAGACGAATGCTCTCTTTCGCCGTCTTACATTTTTTCTACATTTTTATTTCTACGTATAATATGCACACATGTGTACCTCGAAATGAAAAACGGTTGTAAAAATTCTGCTCATAAATCTTGGAAATATTAGATGCTGCATGAAATAAAAGCTGCTTTACTCACAAACGTTCTTTTTCTCTGCGCGCTTTTGCTAAAATAATAAAACCTGCAGCTTGTGGCTCTATTCTGCGGGCAATAAATTTCAACCTCTCGTCGTTTAATAACAGCTTTTCCAAACATATTCTCAAACGTGTTAAAAATTAACTTACTTCCAGTAATTATGGTCAACGCATGTTCCCTTGCGCTGTTGAAAGTGGAAGCAGACTTAATTACCCAGCAGAAAAAGATTTATTTCTAAAAAATGAGAATAAAATAAAACAAGGTAGAAGAAAACTAAGGCGGAAAAGGTTTTCCGTAGTTTACAGGTGCGGAAGAAATGTTTCTTATCTAAATTAAGATAATGTCTAAAATAAAACTATTTGAATTGAATATTTTTGCACAAATTTCAAAATTGGGAGGAATTCTTTTCGGACCGAAAAATGGTTCGTTTTTCGAGCAATTTGTAACCGGTACAGAGATAAAAAAGCAATTTAACAGTGGCGCAGCGCGCGAATTCCATCGCAATTTACATTTGCAGGCTCCGTTGTTTCTCGCATGTGCACTTCTCTCTGTGTGCGATAACAAATAATTAATTATTCCGGCTGTGTCATTGTGTAAGGACAGTTGATAGCAAATGTCACCCAGCGCGAACGTACACCGAGAGAGCGCGCGTCACACAGGCAGCGTGTGATAAATTGCTTAATTATTCGTGTGTTCGCCACCGTGTTGAACCGCACCGAAATTCGTACATTTGTATTATACACAGAGCTAGAGCGACAGACAGAAAGAGCTCATGCGCCAAACGGCCCCTCTGTTTTCAACCCGCGGATTGTCACAACTCAACTCCCGCGGCTGAATTATTGTGCGCGAGATCGAGCAGCTAGAGTGAGTGTGCAGCTTTTTGCAATTCGCAGAGCTCATTTAGAGATGAGATATTGCTGCAAAAATGAAGACTTATTTTAAATTAACAGTTATTTAGTAAAAAATTTAGAGAATTTTGATTAAGAAATCTTCAATTAGAAAAAAAAATAATAATAAATGGGAAAAATAAAAATATAGCTGCAACTTATTTCATATTGTTAACTCAAGGCAATCCCTATACACAAATTGAAAGTAATAATCTAAAACATTCAAAATCTAATAGCAAAAAATAATTAAAGACCCACTCCGGTCATTTATATTGCTTTTTATGCTGAAAGATTGCTAAATTTCGAAAATATCTTGTGAAAACACTATTTGAAAATTCCAAACCGTTGCGTCTCAATCAAAAGAAAACCTAAATACTAGTGATTTGCGCGAAAAACGTGTGAGAATTGAGTAGCCAATCAGATCCATCAGTTTGTTCCAAAAACTACAGAATTTGGTCACATTGGCGCTGCGATCGCTGATTTTGCCAAGTTTTCTGCAACGCCGTGGGGCATTAGTGGCAAAATCAGCGATCGCAGCGCCAATGTGACCAAATCCTGCAGTTTTTGTACAAAACTGATGGATCTGATTGGCTATTCAATTCTCACATGTTTTTCGCGCGAATCACTTGTATTTAGGTTTTCTTTTGATTGAGACGCAACGATTCGGATATACTCGAAATTTAGCAATCTTTCAGAATAAAGAGCAATACAAATGACCGGAGTGGGTCTTTAAATTGGAAAAAATTAAAGAAACAACTAAATTTACACATTTTATTATATC